CAGTGCGGCGGGCCTGAGTTCACCAAAATATGGTAATTATGGTTGTAAATGGCGAACGCCAATAGTAACGACGGCGACGCCAGAAAGACGACGCCGAGGCTCCTCCAGCACCACTGACGCTGCTGCATTGTGCTGGAGGAGACTCCATCAGCATTCTCTACGCCATCATAAAGTGTCGCTCGGTCGCAATGCAGCGTTCCTCGTCGGTGTCGCTCATTGTCGTCAACGCCAGGCCAAAGCGTTCCGGCCAATCAGAGCGCCAAGGCCTTCTCAATCGAGCCAATCGCCAGTGCTCGAGCCGCTGATCATCGCCGCCAGACCAGGCACGTGGCAAGCCGTGCGCAGGCCTCAGGTCGAGGCGCTCACGCGACGTCGCTGTAGGTATGGCGCAGCCTATCTATGCGTGACGACCCACCGAGTCGACCCTTGGGCGGAGCCCTGGCCAATTTTTCGACGGCCTCTCTCGCACGTCGGCCACGGGATCGCCTCCGAGATGCGCTCCTCCAAGCTCCCAAGACCTGCGACGACGCTGCGAGCAATGGCGCAATACGCCTAGCATCATGCCCGCCGCGACGTGCTGCGCTTACGCATCCAGAACGGTTCGCGCTACGGCCACCTCCGATCTGACGGCGCGTCCACGCTCCGGTCGCTGCCACCACACTATACGTGTACACACATCCCGTCAACGCTCGAATCGTGTCTCAACGTCGAGCCTGCATGCGGCTGCTCGCGTCGGCCGTCGAGCGCTGCACTCCTTTTCATCGCCATATCCTCCTATTCGCCTCGTGACCGACAGCTCGCGGCCAACGTCGACACGCTCTACTGACGGCGCCAAGACGCATGCCATCCGAATCCCCGAGCCACACGGAGGTGCTGCTCCAACGTCTACATACGTAGGCGTACCGCCACCGTACCGACACGAGACCAGCAGTCGAAGCATTGAGCTTCCATTTTGACGCGCATTCACCACCTTCACCCCCGATTGCTGCCACGCGTGTGGCCCGCAATCAACCATAGTGGCCGCAAATTAAACGTCGCGTTGCCGTCGTCTACTCTGTAGCTCTCTCTGCAGCATTTAAAAAATATGCATGCAGCTGACACACTACGCCACGTGCTCGACTACGATTGCCGAGATCTGGATGGCCTCCAGTCGCGCTCGCCTTTACCACGACGGCCATTGGCATATTATTATTGCGTGCACTGCTTTAGATCGTACCGGCATTGGTTGGTGAAGTGGGTCGTCTATTACAAAAGATAGAGCTATGCTAAACGAGATTGTCGGACTTTCTTCGTTGTGTGTGCTCGGTTGAGGCTCTTGATTTAGGGACACCACTCGCCAGGTGACGGTGTGGGAGTGGAGGCAAATAGTTTTGCGCACGACATGGTGCTTTTCGCACACAACACCACACGGATAAGAATACAACTGGAAGGATCTGCACGCCGCCTCGGTGATGGGGGTTGGTGGGAGAGGGGTTGGTAAGTGGATAAGGTATATCGACTCCGGACGATATGTCGTGGCGTCAAGCACTGTATTCGACGCGTGCATTAAAGACGCTGGTAGAATCGGCGTCGACGGCCTTGAAGCGTCAAAAAGGCCAGCAGCCCAAGGACGCCAAGGGCAGCGACAAGCCGTGTCGATGTGGTCATCAAACGTGTCGCGTCCAGTCGCTGCTTGAGCAGGTCGAGTCGAATTTCATGGCGGTGCTGCCGGTCGCTGTTCCACGCGATCGCGCTCGTATTTTCGACATGATACTTGGCCGCCTTGGTCGTATTGAACGGCCGGATGCCGTAGAGCGACCCACCAAACGCCGGGCTCTCATCCCACACGAGCGCTTCGTCACTGACGTCGGGCACCATAAAGTGGCAGTCCGACTCGATCGCGAGGTTGTTGCTGCCGCGCACAATGCGGAAGAAGCCATTCTCGCCCCAGTACGTGCCCCACGAGTTGCGCGCGCGCCAAAACTTGACACCAGCATCGTCCTCGCCCCACCCGACAATCTCCACGTCGTGGTCAATGTGCGTAAAGTTGGTCGTATCATGCAAAATCCCGGCCGTGTAGTCGTTGATGAACGGCGGGCTGCACGCAATGCCGCACGTGATCGGACCGTTGAGGAGCTCGTGCATCATGGCGTGCTCGCCGGCAATGCGCGCATACTCCTTAGCCCGGTACCGCACCATCTTGGTCACGGGAAGCAGTACGGCACATTGAGGCTGTCGGGCGTCTTCATGCAGCTAGAGAGACGTCGTGAGACGAGCCAATATGGAAAGCGTACTTGACGCAGTAGCCGTCCGGCGGACACGTGCCATTGTACAAGTCAATGTACTTGGTGTAGTCGGTCGCGTTGTAGTGGAGACACGTCTCGTCGGGAAGGCCATACTGGTGCATAAACTCGTACACGTCCGCGGGCTCACCGCCCTTGCAGCCGTGCGAGAGGCCGTGGCCCGGCGCGCAGTTGAGGAAGCTCTGGCGCCCGAGCATCACGTCCGGCCCATTAAACCCGAGCTTGTGGTTGAGGATCTTGATGCGGTCGTTCGCGCTCGAGAGCGCGCCATGCGCAAAGCACGATCCGCAGTACTGCGGAATGTGCTGGTTCCAAGACGACGTGCACATACCGCGCTCGCACCAATCGAGCGCCTTTGGCAGCGCAGCCATCTCGAGCACCTCGGTGTCAGTCGGCGGCGGCAGCGTGTACACGCTCGGATGCAGGTGTTCGCGCTGGCGCATCGTGCGCTGGCGCATCGTGCGCTGGCAGTACGAGCCGTGGCCGACGCCAGCCATGGCCATAAGAACCAATCCAAGACGCTGCATCGCGATGCAATTCGATCTGTATCAACGACCACAGTTCGCCCGCGATCTTGGTTCCAGCCCAACGGGATCTTTTGCGATCTTCCGACGCACGGTAATAGTGTACGAGCACCACCAGCGCCATGGGAAGCGCTTTCTTCTTCAAACGAGATATATTGTTTCGACGAGGCTTTCGGTACGAGTAGGGTCGTCGTCGGCGCGAGTGTGTTGCACGTCGTGGCAATTCATCATGGTGCGCGCAAGGGAGCGCATTATTGGTTGGGTGGGTTGTCGCAAACCATCATACACTATTCGGCTGTTATTTTGCGTTACTCGTACACCATTTCGTCCCATCACGTGATTGCTACAAACTACAAGTATAGAAGGCGAGATCTCAGCGTGTGCAAATAGTGTGATATAGCTGAAATGGTGTTGTGCAACATGTCGCAGAGAGTACGGCGATGGCGCGTCGCTGCCCTCGAAGCCGCTGGCCGCGCGCCACGCTTAACGTCCACGAGAAGGTAAATGCATTCGACCAGCGAGATGTGCCGGGCACTGGCGGACGGTGGTATTAGTGGCGTGTTGGCCTCTGAAACTGAGGCGGTGGCGACGGCTGTGGCAGCAGCGAAGACAGTGGGAGCCGCTTCCTGGGTGATAGATTTAGATTTGGGCGGCTGGGATGATCGACTTGAAGTTTGGCCAGCCACTTTTCTTTTCGGTTAGCCAAGATGACCACGTACGGCAGCGGTAACAGCGTGGCCTTGCCCACGACGCGTCTCGTGCTCAAGCACTCGGAGCGCCCGAGCGCGAGCCGCCCGCGCAAGGCGGCGCTCGCGTTGGGCCTTGGCGTCGCGCTCGGCTGCGCGTACGCTGCGACCGCCCACCATGGCCGCACCGCGCCGCTCCTTCTCGGCGACGCCGTGCGTGGCTGCGACTTCCGCGACGGCGACCGCATTACGCTCCGCGCCGACACGGGCAAGTACTTTTCGCGCTGCAACAACTGCATCCCGGACGCCGCGTACCCGGACGCCGCCTTTGTGCACGCCGACGCCGTGAGCCCGGCCGCCGTCTGGACGGTCGTCCGCGCCGCCAACAACA